GGGCAGAGAGTTCCACTGCTGAACAGCTCTCACAGTCAGGAAGTTCTTCCTAATGTTCAGATGGAATCTCCTCTCTTGTAGTTTGAAGCCACTGTTCCATGTCCTAGTCTCCAGGGAAGCAAAAAACAAGTTCGCTCTCTGGGTTGTTGTAGGTTTTTCTGGGCTATATGGCCATGTTCTAGAGGCATTTTTCCTGACGTTTCGCCTGCATCTATGGTAAGCATCCTCAGAGGTAGTGAGGTCTGTTGGAAGTAGGAAAATGGGTTTATATATCTGTGGAATGACCAGGGTGGGACAAAGGACTCTTGTCTGCTGGAACTAGGTGTGAATGTTTCAACTGACCACCTTGATTAGCATTTAATGGCTTGGAAGTGCCTGGAAGGAATCTTTTATTGAGAGTGAATTGATGTGCTTGATTGTTTCCTCTCTGTTGTTTTGCTGTTGTAATTTTTGAGTTTTTTAATACTGGTAGCCAGATTTTGTTCATTTTCATGGTTTCTTCCTTTCTGTTGAAATTGTCCACATGCTTGTGGATTTCAATGGCTTCTCTGTGTAGTCTGACATGTTGGTTGTGAGAGTGGTCCAGCATTTCTGTCTTCTCAAATAAAATGCTGTGTCCAGGTTGGTTCGCTCCCTCCTCCCTGTGAGTTTCTCTCACATATTTATACATGGCTATCATGTCTCCTCTCAGCCTTCTCTTCTTCAGGCTAAACATGCCCAGCTCTTTAAGCCGCTCCTCATAGGGCTTGTTCTCCAGAACCTTGTTTATTTTAGTCGCCCTCCTCTGGACACATTCCAGCTTGTCAATATCTCTCTTCAACTGTGCTGCCCAGAATAGGATATACCGTAGTTACCTCTGAACTGGGGAGCTTCTACACAGCCATATAATCCAGATTATCAGAGCAGATAATCCACAGTATTTGCTTTGAACTGGATTATTATGAGTCTACACTGCCATATAATCCAGTTGAAAGCAGGTACTCTGAATTTTATATGGCAGTGTCGTAGGGTTTTGAGACTTCAGCTATCCTATACAATATGGCAGAGTGATTGGCGCCCCTTTGCTTCCAACAACACATGCAAGAGGAAACCAAGAATAAAATAAGAGTTTTTGCAAGGAAGCTCTTATCATGAGAGTCATTCTGCTAATTAATGCTGTATCCTGTTTCAGTGGGAAGCCTGTCTTATTTCAGCTAGAACAATTTCCTGATGCCCTCTGTTTCCCGCAGTGGCCGTTGCTCAAAGGTATAATTTAACAGTCACAAAAGACCACACGTTCAAACATTCAAGCGAGAAACTGAAATTGGGTGACCTTTTCTCTCTCTGCGTGTTTTGAAACAATTGGCTCATTAGATGTGAACCTAACAAAGGGTCTGGGTTTATCTCTGAGAAAGGTTGGACCTTAACTAGGAATTTTGAAAAATACATTCATTTTTCTCTGCTAGGGGCATATTTTTGTTTCATTCGTATGCGCACGTATTTGCATATCCTGGTCTTTCTAGCCTCCTGATGGTTGCATAAAACCCATTGTCTCACAATCATGGTAGGCAAAGAATACCGTAAACATTATTGAAGCAAGTAAAACTGCCCCAAAACTTTATCTATCTGCTGCACTCAAGCAAGGAAATGGCAGGAGGAAATCGGATTAATAATATAGAGTTTGTTAAACTGTAATACAGGATTGTTACTCCAGAAAATTATTATTCCAGAAAATACAGACAATGCCATTGCTATTGTCGAAGGCTTTCATGGCTGGAATCACTGGGTTGTTGTAGGTTTTTCCGGGCTATATGGCCATGTTCTAGAGGCATTTTCTCCTGACGTTTCGCCTGCATCTATGGCAAGCATCCTCAGAGGTAGTGAGGTCTGTTGGAAGTAGGAAAATGGGTTTATATATCTGTGGAATGACCAGGGTGGGACAAAGGACTCTTGTCTGCTGCAGCTAGGTGTGAATGTTTCAACTGACCACCTTGATTAGCATTTAATGGCTTGGAAGTGCCTGGGGGGAATCTTTTGTTGAGAGTGATTTGATGTGCCTGATTGTTTACTCTCTGTGGTTTTGCTGTTGTAATTTTTGAGGTTTTTTTTAATACTGGTAGCCAGATTTTGTTCATTTTCATGGTTTCTTCCTTTCTGTTGAAATTGTCCACATGCTTGTGGATTTCAATGGCTTCTCTGTGTAGTCTGACATGGTGGTTTGTCCCACCCTGGTCATTCCACAGATATATAAATCCATTTTCCTACTTCCAACAGACCTTACTACCTCTGAGGATGCTTGCCATAGATGCAGGTGAAACATCAGGAGAAAATGCCTCTAGAACATGGCCATATAGCCCGGAAAAACCTACAACAACCCAGTGCCATTGCTGATGCCCATTTTTGGTCAAAAGACACTTAGCCGCCTGTGTGCCTTCTATTTTTATCAAGTTTATACTAACATATGCAATGCTTTTGATATGAAATAAATAAATAATTCCATAAAATGTCCTTTATAATATGCCCACTGCTTTTTGTAATATCCTCACCCATCCAAATTAAGAAGTAACTTATTAACTCTTTCACTTGCTCTGTTGCTTGAAGAAGTGGGTCCACTTTTAGTGTCACGCTTGCTATTCAAAATTGAAGAAATTCAAATATCAGGCTGGTAGGATCCCATGTACACATCGTTGTTGGTTCTCATTTTGCTGTCCTCAAGAATTTCTAATTGTTCCACCACCTCCTTTTCTTGGAAAGTTGCTAGAATTCAATGGAATTGTGCTCCCACAGAAGTTGAGGAAGCAAAAAGCCATTTTGTTCCCTTCTGCTTCAGGATAAGCCTTGTCTTAGAGAGCACTAGAAATCTGAGTAAGTGTTTAAAATTAGCTGCTTTGAGTGTTGCTTTGTTTGAGAGGCGGGGCGCAGCTTTTAAAGAAATGCTGGATGGCCATCTGTCAGGGGTGATTTGATTGCAATATTCCTGCTTCTTGGCAGGGGGTTGGACTGGATGGCCCATGAGGTCTCTTCCAACTCTTTGATTCTATGATTCCAAGTCTTGCCAATGACATAAATATGACATAAAACTCTGCAAACACACTGTTTTCTTAGGGTGTACTTACAATGTAGAATTATTTCAGTTTGATATTACTTTAACTGCCATGGCTCCATAGGATCATAGGAGCCTTCTCTGCCAAAGAGTGATGGCGCCTCCCCAAACTACCAACCCCATGACTCCATATCAATGAGCCATGGCAATGAAAATGGTATCAAGCTGCATTAGTTCTACCATGTAAATGCACTCTTAGAAGTACAGTGTCTCCTCACTTATTGTGGGGGTTCCGTTCCAGGAAATTCACCAAGTAGGGATGCTATATTAATTTTAATATTTATACATTATTTTATATATTATTTTCTTACCCGCACTTTCTTACCCACCTCCGAGCCCATCCCAAGGGTGCCTACCTGCCAACCTGGCCTCCGCAGACCCCGACAGAGCATCCGGAGCCACGCAGGCAGCAGAAGGCCAGGGAGGCAGGCCTTCCCTACCATGCCTCAGGCCACTGCACTTCCAGGGTCTGTGGATGCCAGGGAGGCAGGCCTTCACCTCAGGCTGATAGAGGGAGCTCATCCACCTCTCCCTGGATTCAAACCTGCAACCTGTCAGTCTTCAGTCCTGCCAGCACAGGGGTTTAACCCACTGCGCCACCTGGGCTCCCTCATGCGGGGACATGAGAGAAGCCTCCCTCAAGAATGATGAAAACATCAATTCATCCGGTCATCCCCTGGGCAATGTCCTTGCAGACGGCCAATTCTCTCACACCAGAAGCGACTTGCAATTTCTCAAGTCACTCCTGACATGACCTCAGGCTGACACACTTCTGGGGTCCCTGGCCTCCACTGAATGTAAATATTTCATATTTTATATTAACATTTCAAAAACCCGCAAAACAGCAAGTCTGTGTAAAGCAAACCACGAAGTAGTGAGGGAACTGTATACCACTATGGTTATGTGAATTCATTTACCATTGTTAATTTTCCATAAACACTAGTAATCCATGGGATGGTTGGGAACCCTATGAGTCTTCTTTTTTTATTGTTGTTTTCACCAAAAGAACATTTTAAAAGGTATTTTAGGCTTCAAGTTTCAGTTAGGACTTTATCACAAAGGGGAAAGGATTTGCCACACATCATAATAAATTCATGGGGTCCCAAAGGGTGTGTGGAGAATCCGTCACTCCGTGCCCCACATTGGCTGACCTACATGGGACCCCATCCCATGTAGGTCAGCTTCCCCCCATTGATCCAAAGGCAACACAGAAAGCCACCTGTGTTGACGCGATGGTGGCATACATTGCTTGCTCCCCTTTTGGCACAGAGACTGGCTGGAAGTACACGTTTGTTGTGTAATAGACTCCATGTCAAAAGTTGAGAGCAAGTGGCATACGACAAGCAAATTAGCCCATCTGATGAGGTGGTAAGTCCTAACTTAAGAAGTTTGAACTCCCACAAACAACCCTTTTAAAGACTGGGTGCTAGCAAAATACCAACAGCAATTTTATTTGCTAAATGCATAGTTAGATTTAACCCATGTTATTCATCTTATTTTGTTCACTCACTCGACTTAGAAAAGTTACCAAGTTATTTTAAAGGTGAGAAAGGTGTACCGTCAGGGTGGGCAACTTGAGGTCCTCCAGATGTTGCTGTACTTCACTGCCCATCCACTCTCATTCATGCAGCTCCTGGTGAGGGGTGAGTGGAGCTGCGAGGAGCAACATCTGGAAGGCCAAAAGTTGTCCTTTCCTGAAAATGGAATTGATTTTTTAAAAAACAAAAAAATTACCATAATGAGTTGAAGGCCAACACAGTACATCTAAAATCACTCATTTCAGTATGGAATTATTGCAAAAGATGCAATGTCTGCCAATTCATTGGGCTACTTGAGTAAGAATCTCATCAGATATTTGGGGGGGGGAGGTTAATGTCCTAGGAAGTTTTCACCCCTGCTTCTGGACAGAGCCCCAAACCAGCCATCACACAGCGTTGTGTGACTTCCTGCGAAGACCTTACCCCCAACTGGGGTGAAAGCATTGCCAGAGGCTTCCACTACAACACAAGAGGTCCTCTCTGGGACTGCAATGTTTCCCCCGTGTGATAGTGAAAGCGTTGCCAATACGAAGCCGCACGCGGAATGACAGATTCACACTGCTTTCCCTCTCCTTTTGCCTCAATGACAGATTCACACTGCTTTTCCTCTCCTTTTGCCGCAATGCCAAACAAGTGGGACACTTTGCTTGGCCTTTGCGATGAGGCCCTTAGGCAAAAGCATACTCAATTTCAATGGCAGCTATATGTAGGCTTTCAGATCCTTTCCTTCCTAGTTTAGGAGCGCTCCTAATTTTAAGGGTCCTATTCTTTTCTGCATTTGAGTGGATGATGGAGGAGATCGTGTTTAGGCCAATATCTTTCTACGGAGGTTGCCAACCATTGTTAATTACTAGCCACAGAGTTTCTGTGAAAAATACCTAACTGGAGATACATCTGGTAGACCGATCTGTAGATAACACTGTAGAAAGTCCTTTACTCCCACTATGCAAAGGCAGAAGGTCTCACTTGCAAGAGAGCTCTTCACCCTTCAGCTACTAAGAGACAGTGCATGCCACCTCTTCACCAGTTCCTTGGGTTTGCTGATCATTTCATTCCAGTGTTCCAGTTCTTTGCCTCTGGTGTACATGAAGGGCCCAATAACCACACGACCCAGCGAGTAGGTTTCTAAGCAAGAGCAGAAAAAGGAGTGTTTTTTAATTAACAGCCAACATCTGTAGAGGTGTCAATGTGGACATGCAGCAGCAGTAAATAATAGAGTTGGTTAGGTTTGCTTTCTTAAAACCTATTGAATTTGGTCTTCCGAATCAATTTTGAACCATGCAAGAAAAGTAAGAGGTGTAATTACGATTTGAACCACTTACCCTTTTTATTCATAAATATTTCGTAATGTTCGGAAGTCTCCCAAGGTTATTTTAATTTTCACAAGCATTAAGCAACTTTTGTAAAGTTTTGCTTCCCTTCCCAGGCGATGCAAAGGAGGGATGAGGTGAGCGTACCTAAGCCATTGTTGTAGTTTGTGAAGGGAAGGCCCCCAATGGTAGAGATTGCAAAAGGTCCTGTTGTTAAACTACATTTCCCACACTGCCTTGCTGCGCATTAGCCAAAATGGCTGAGCAGCAGGCTCCTCCTCCTCCTCCTCCTTTTCTGCATTACCACTGGAGCTCCGGAGTAGGGCTGGGCAACCAAGGAAAATTTTGTTTCTAAACCTGATTCATTTTTAGGGGGTTTTTGCGTTTCGATTTTTAAAAGAATTCCGAAATTTTTCTTTAAAAAAGTTCAAAATTTACAAAATTTCAGAACTTATGAAACAATTACGAAGCAATTACGAATTGATTCGTTAATGGCGGATGCGACCGCGCAATACGCTAAAAAAACCTCCAAATGGGACAGGGGGAACTTCTGAAGCTTCCCTCTCCCTCTGTTGTTGACTGTTGGTGTGATAATTATTTTTTTTCACTGATAAAACAAACAACAACTATAAAACTTGCACCAGACATGCGGAAATAATAACGAAACAATTTCGAAACAATTTCGAAACAATTTCGAAACAATTACGAAACAATTACAAAACAATTACGAAACAAATTGAAAAATTCGTTTCGATTTTTAGTTGCTCCTGAATGGTTCAATATCGCTTCGTTATAAAAAAACGAATTAATAACGAATTACGAAATTAACGAATGAAACCGCCCAGCCCTACTCCGGAGTTTGCATTCAAACCGAGTTTTCCTCACTCCCCCCCCCTTCTCACCCCAATCTCAAGGTCTGGCAACTGGGAGTTTAGCCAGGCAGGAGGCAGCCTCTGCTCAACAGGATCAAGCCAATGCTGGGTTTAAAAAAAAAGGAAAGGAGGAAGGCGGGAGAAAATTGGGAAGGGAGAAAGGAGAGGGTGCTTTCTGTTATAGATCAGTGGCACTAAAGGTTGATTGGGATGTTGGTTAAAGCAACCAGTTTTGGAAAGGAAGGAGAACCTGTCAGAAGCACCTTCCTTCCTTCCCTCCCTGTCTCCTTTCTTCCTTCATTCCCTCTCTTGCCTCCCTTCCTCCAGGTGGATCAGACAGATCTTATCAAGGAACCACTTCCAACTGCTTTGCCTCAATGCTACACAATCCTGGGAGCTGTAGTTTTGCATGGTTTTTTAGCCTCCTTTGCCAAAGAGTGCCATACTACAAACCCCAAGATCCCATAACATGCAACTGTGGCATGGCTGCATCTAATCCAGGCCTGGGCAAACTTTGGCCCCTCCAGGTGTTTCGGATTTCCGCTCCCATTATTCCTATCAGCCTGAAGCCCGCCTGGCAGCGGGAGCCAAGTGGCACCTGAGGAGGTGTCACTGCCTCCTCCTCAGTATTGACAACCGAGGCAGACCGGGAGTGGAAGAGCCCCTGGGTCAGGAGTGACCTGAGTGGAAGAGCTCCTGAAGTTTCCCCAGTGCCAGTGCTTTTTTTCCTACTGTGCATGCGTATCTGCCATTAACGAAGCTGTTTTGGAAGTTTCGGAAAGTTTTAAAAAATATATATTTTTAAAGGAAGTGACTTTAGAATCGAACCATCAGCATCTGAAACGAATTTTTTTTTAAATCAAACAAGCCTGGTAAATAAGTAGTCAAATGAATCCTATGGCTGTAAACTAGCCTGCTTCCTTCAGGTGCAGCAGAGGTATCTATCCTGTTGCCATTATTTAAAACATTGGCTATCAATTCTTCTTTATCTGATATCGAGGAAGGAAAGGTACCCTCTTGTCCTCAAAAACCAGCTTGCAAAGAACAGCGGATGCTTTTTGAAAAATATGTCTACTGGTGATTTGATCCTTTGTTCCTCCGGATATTATTGATTGACTTATTTGCTTCATATATATCCTGCCTTTCTCTCAACAAAGGACCCACGACTGCTTGCAGCAAGATTGAAACAAAATGAAATGAACATCCCGATAATATCAAAGGTAAAGAACAATTAAATTACCCATCATCTAATTTAATTGTTAATTGGGAGAAAGGCAGGATACTAAACAAACTTCTATAATTTACAACAATATAAAATCATACAAAAGATATAACAATCTAGATCGGTCATTCTCAACCTGTGGGTCCCCAGATGTTTTGGCCTACAACTCCCAGAAATACCAGCCAGTTTATCAGCTGTATTCTGGGATTTCTGGGAGTTAAAGGCCAAAACATCTGGGGACCCACAGGTTGAGGACCACTGATCTAGATAAAAAGGCAACATTACCACCCCCGTTTAAAACTACTTTTCCATGACCAATCATAAAATGTCTGTCTAAATTAAAAGATTGTTTTGTTGTTGTTTACCTTCAAGTGGTTTCCAACTTACGGCAGCCCTCAGGTTGATCGCAGAGGCTTCTTGGCAAGATTTGTTCAGAGGAGGATTGTCTGAGAGAGTCTGACTTTCCCAAGGTCACCCAGTGGGTTTCCATGGCCAAGTGGGGATTCAAACCACTTCATCACACAGTGGTTTTTTAGGATCCTAGGATGCTTCCCCACCAGTCCAGTGACAGGTGGACATGCTGCCCATCACACGATGTCGCTGGACCTCCAGTGCCCCCACCCCCAACTGAAGTGGAAGTGTCCTAGGAAGCTTCCCTTCAACATGGAAGCCTGCCTGTGTTGTCCTGGCTCCAATGGAGCTAACACAGATCTGTACCACTTCAGCGATGCTTCCTGTACAGATGGGGGAAGTGTCACCATGATGATGCATCCTCAGCATAACAAGGGGTAACTTGCCATTACGCCTCAGAGGCTTGTGAAACGGCACAGGGATCATACCCATGTGATAAAGTCCTAAATCTGGTCTCCAGAGTCATTGTTTAGTGCTCATGATTATTACCAGACTGGTAATAATCATAATCATCATCATCATCATCATCATTATCATCATCATCTTTATTTATACCACGCCACCATCTCCCCAATGGGAACTCGGAGCGGCTTATAGGTGGTGAGGAAAGCAGAAGGGCGGCAGTCTAGTTCCTTTGATATTTTGGATTTGCCACCATGGCAAATAGTAAGGGATCATGGGACTTGAAATCCAAGACAACTGGAGGGCCAAGAAATACTGTGCTGGGAGAAGTTTCCCTTGTTTCAGGTCCCAGTATCAGAACATTGTTCGAATCCTTGTTAGCTATGAAACCCCCTTCGTGCCCTTGGCAAGTCAAATTCCCTCAATCCTCAAAGTAAAATCCATTCTGGAAAAAAAATCTTGCCAAGAAAGGTTACCTTAGAGTTGTCACAAATCAGAAATGGCAATAGCACTCAATAACAGAAACAAAATATTAATTGTTATTCAAAACATGTTGAATATTTTTGGATATATTTAAGATTAACAGTGTGTATAGGAGACATTAACAATAACATCTCACTACCTCTGAGGATGTTTGCCATAGATGCAGGCAAAACGTCAGGAGAAAATGCCTCTAGACCATGGCCATATAGCCCAAAAAAACCTACAACAACCCAGTTTTATGGTTATACTTCAACTGTAGCCATCTTGCAAATCTAGTCCTGAAAGACGAAAAGTTTAACATGAAAGATTATCCTAGAACACCAGCAATGCCTTACCTCCTCCCTCCACTTCCTGGAGCACAGATAGGCTCAGGCTTGTTGTATCCAGCTCTAGTTGGTCAACCTTGAAGCTCAGCGTCTCATTGAACAACAGATCAGACAAACTCACAACAGCTGTAGTTCTTTTGGCTTTGATGAACTGATTCTGCTTCATTAGAGACACTTTGACAAAAACACCTGGAATAAAAGGATGAAATTCAGAATACTTAAATAGGTTGCAAGCAGTGAGAAGAAAACAACCCTAAATCCCTTAGCCTGGCTGGGCAAATCTATTCATTCATGGGATGGCAAGAAGGAGCAATCCACTATGATTAGTTTAACTCTTCATGTTCCAACCAGAATGGTAGGATCCAAGGTTCTTTTTCAGTTGAGTCATTAAGTTCCTGACCGTTTTTTCTATCCTGCTTAACCAAACAGTCGTGTTCATCCTTCTCTTATAAGGCAAGGATGTTGGTAATGATAAATTACAAGAAGAAAATAAGAACAGAAAGTCAATGGCTCAAAAGTGAAGAAGAACGTTGCACAAGCAATTATATGTCTCCTGGTAAGCTGCAGGCACCATAATCAAAACCACAGCTTTAAGGCAATGCCTTTAAAGTGGAGACGAATGTTGCAGAAGCAATGATATCTCTCCTGGTAAGTTGTGATTGCCATTTTGAAACCACATCTGTAAGGCAATGGCTCCAAAGTGTTTCCTCACCAGTACCAAGATAGGAAAAGAAACAGACTATAGTTTAGAAATAAGTAGAGAATTTGACTTTGTATTCATCTCTTGTTTATTTTTATTTGATGTTATTATTTGCTGTGTATTGATTTAGTTCTGTTATAATTGTTGGGCTTGACCTCATGTTAGCCTCCCCGAGTCCCTTTTGGGGAGATGGTGATGGGGTATAAATAAAGTTTTATTTATTTATTATTATAAATGGAAGGAACAGAAGAGATTCAAGAGGATCAATGGTTCCAAACTGTTTACTCAATTTTTTCTTTGCTGTTCAGAAATCAGATGGGAAATCCTGTCCTGTTTTGAATCTCAGAAAAATTTAAATGATTTCGTGAGGTAACTTGTGGTTGAAAATTGATACCTTACAATTGTTCAAAGAAAAATTGAGAATAGATATTAGATAGCCTTCATAGATCTCAAAGAGACTTATTTAGATGTCTAGTGACCTTTGCAGACTGGAAGTTCTTGGGTTTTCATATCAGAGAACCATTTTCAATTCAGAGAGCTGCCATTTGGTTTGGCTCCAGTGCCAACAGTCTTTGCAAAGATATTGATTCAATACATAGTTTCCATCTCGTGGTCTCTGTGGAATGCACACAACCATATGTGTGGATTCCACAGATGACCACTCAAAGAACCACGGTTACAGGTAAGCAACCATAGTTTCCATCTCGTGGTCTCTGTGGAATGCACACATATGGTTGTGTGGATTTCACAGATGACCACTCAAAGAATCACGGTTACAGGTAAGCAACCAGAGTATTCTTTCTCACGCTCATCCTGGGATGCTCTTTAGTTGCCCATCCTCATTGGAAACAAAGCATGCCAGTGTCTTGTACAGGGTATCTGACGCGCACCTTTCAGTGCCAGGTTCAGAATTGCAGCCCAAAGTGCCGACTTCTTGAATGAGTGTACAGAAAAGACCAAGTGGCTAAGCAGGACAGTTCCAACAGGAGTCTGAAAGATGGGCTTTTTGAGAGAGAGAAAAACCCTGGGTCCACCTTTTCTTATTGCCTTTTTTTTTCTCTTTGGGGTGAGGTTTTCTTTGAAAGACACCCACAACACGAAAGCCATTCCTGAATTGGGGAGAGCGGTGTGTGAAGGGGAGATCTGATCATTCCTCAGTGCTACTGAACCCTGTCCAATGTTGGCTATTCAGCTGTATTTATTTATTTAAAACTTTTATATCCCGATCTTCTCAACCTCCACGGAGGGACTCAGACTGGCTGACAGAAAGGATTCAATGCCACAATACAGTCTAAAACATCATACAACGACAATAGATTAAAATACATATAAAGTAAAGTACATATAAGCCAGTTCGCCAAAATAAAATCATGTCCAACTCAGTCCACATATGCCAATAACTGTAGTCTGTTGTTGGTCTCACCCATTATTCTGGGAATACTTCATTCCATAGCCAGGATTTCACTAACTTCTTGAAGGTCAGGATGGAGGGGCAGCTCTAATCTCATTTGGAGAGAGTTCCATAGCCGAGGGGCCACCACACAAAAGGCCCTGTTTCTCATCCCCTCCAGACGCGATTGCAAAAGTGGTGGGAACGAGAGCAGGGCCTCTCCAGAAGATCTTAATAGCCTTGATGGTTCATAGAGGAGAATACATTTGGACAGATAAACTAGGCCAGAGCCATATAGGATTTTGTAGGTTAAGACCAGCACTTTGAATTGTGCTCGGAAGTCTGGTTCAAATCTATCATTGTTTGAGTCTACAGTTCTCTCTGGATGTAGGTGAACTACAACTCCAAAACTCAAGGTCAATGTCAATGTCCACCAAACCCTTCCAGTATTTTCTGTTGGTCATGGGAATTCTGTGTGGCAAGATTGGTTCAGAATGCTCTTTCATTGTAGATTAATTATAAATCCCAGCAACTCCAAGTCTCAAATGACAAAATCAATCCCTCCCCCAACCCCACCAGTATTCAAATTTGGGCATAGCGGGTATTTCTCCCATATTTCGTCCAGTGAATGAAATACATCCTGCATATCTGATATTTACATTATGATTCATAACAGTAGCAAAATTACAGTTATGAAGTAGCAACGAAAATAATTTTATGGTTGGGGTCACCACAATATGAAGAACTGTATTAAGGGGTCACAACATTAGGAAGGTTGAGGACCACTGACTTAAAGCTGTAAATTGGATTCCCTTTGATGACAGTAGACTAAATAAAAGTGATAACACGACTAGTATTTGAAGTTATGATGGCTTAAAGCAGGTGATCAGTTACAGACAGAAAATACAAGTATCCATAGCTAAAAGCTGTGATCCTGACACTGTTATGTTTACATAATGTCAGGGGTACAGCATACAAGTTTGGCTAGAAAATATGACAATTTGAGTTTTTGTTTTAAATCAAGGAGGTCTGAATTTGAGGCCATTGATGACAGAGACAGACTCACAACCTCCTCACAAGATGCGCAAATAATCAAAAGTTGAACTTGCAAATGTAGAGCATTGACATACCTGATTTTTCTATTTTTATTTAAACTGTGGTATTTCCAGAGCTTGCCAACATATATTTTTACAATTGCCAGAATTCCTTGGTCAGCACAGCCAGTGGCTAGGCTGCTTGGGGAATTCTGGGAATTTTTACCAACTTGTTTTCTCTTCCTTGTTTCCTCTTTCTATTTTTTCAAAAGCACACCCAAAACTAGTACAAAAATAGTGGTAGTGTCACTTGCACCACCATTGCGAGTGTCTTCTCAGTTTGGCTCTGATTCAGAATAAGACTTAACTTTAACCTTAACACAATTTGTGTTAACCTTAACACAAATTTATTATATTTGCAGTGTTAATTATAATGTATAAACATAGTGAGATTAAATTATGATTATATGAACAAAGCTGTTAGTTCTGTGTGAGTTTTAGATAATGCTAATATACTATACAATTCTAAACTCCTAGTCCACACTGTTGCTAAAAACAAAACAAAAACTATTTCTCACCACACTTATCAAGAGCTTGTTTTTCTTTCTGGAACTTCAAGCCCTTTGCTCTTAGCACCACCACTGTGAGACGGCCCAGATAGCCATTGTAGCTGAGAGAAAACTGGAGGTCACCGTGTTCAGAAGGCACCTTTGATGAAGAAGGGAAGTTGGTTGGTTGCATCAAGATTAATTCACTAGGTACTCAACATTAAGCAGCATGTTTTTCTTTCACTCCAATTACTTTAAGAGTAGGATTGAACAGTAGGTCCTAAAGCTTTGAAGAGAGATGGGGCACAAGACTCGCACAGAACCCAAGAAAACACCTCTCAGAGTCTCAGAGTCTTTCAGTTTTAATCTATGGTAAATGACCACCAGTCACTGACCATTAGAGTTGTCCTGGAGGAAGAGAGATTCCCCCAGGACAAATCTAGAGTTGTCCTGGAGGATTGAGTGATTCATTTAAATGTATTTTTATTATGCTTGCTAGCCATTCCCTGCCATGCGTTGCTGTGGCTCAGTCTGTGTATATGTGCTTTGTGTGTGTATATATTTGTGTATATGTGTATATTGAAATGGCAGGGAAAAGGTTTCAGGAAAGGAGAGGAAACGAGAGGTCCTGGAGGTCTAAAAAAAGCACGGATTTATTACCAGCTGGGACCTGGTGAGGAGTGCTCTCCTAAAGCACCAGAGCCATGAAATAGGGGCGGACTGTGGCTTTTATAGATTCCAGGTTCTAGCAAACAATGAAACATGCTACTGCATACAATATCGTCATTCCTACGTCACCTTAGCATCATATTCTATCTCCTAACATGCAAGAAGGCATGTCTGTGTCTTGCTGAAGAGCAAGCATGGCTTACATTCATCAGTCAAGAGGCCCACTTATGATGTCAGGAGGGAGGGGGGATTGGCTCCTTCCTTAGAAGGAAGACACTGGGCCTTTCGTACCAGCCTCTGTGGCTTATCTCCTGGAATGTAGAGATAACATGCCCCCCTTCTCCTCCCTCCTGCCATGTTTGCTTGTCTTGTCAGCATTCTTTTTAATACAGAGAGAGCCTGATTTTTCTGTATTTCAGTGTTTGTAAAGTGCTTACAATTTACGCATAAATCAATCAATAAATATCTATTTTCCAATATCTCCTCATCAATATGTGTGTGTGTGTATAGTTTTGCGCATGCGTTGTAATGCTTTTTTTTTTGCTATTTAAGTCTCCTCTGCTGTGTTTTTCAGTGTTTTTATAAATGATGGTCAGCCGTTGACCTGATACGTATATTGTGTCCAAATTTGGTGTTAGTTCATCCAGTGGTTTTTGAGTTATGTTTATCCCACAAACGAAAATTACATTTTTATATATATTATGTTTTAATGTTTAACTGATGTTTTAACTGATGTAGTGTGTTTTAAGGCACCATGGAGGTACAATTGTAAGCCACCTTGAGTCCCCCTTGGGGTAGAGAATGGTGGGATATAAATAAGATAAATAAATAAACAAATAAATAAATAAATAGATGATACCAGCAACTTTTTTCAGGGAACAGGACCATATTTTTGCCCATTGGGATCAACTCTTGTTTTTTTTTTTTTCCATTGCAACTCATGAATGACTGAGAGCAATAGCTCAGGGACCAAGCACTAAGCCAGAGTACGCAATTGAGGTGAAACTTGTGTGCGATAGTGGGGGATTCACCATGAATCATGGGAAATCAGGCATGGGACCCATTGCCCCATGCCTTGCATTGCCCGCATTGCCCCTTACCTCATCCCACTGGGGGAAACACTGCCGTTCAGCTTCCCCCATTTTTATATACGGGTGAAGACGTGGCTGTGGAGTCAGGCCTTTGAGGAATGAGACAACACCATAGGACTCTGGATGGAAGTGGATATAGATCCATCTTATTAGGACGAGTGACCATTGTAGTTTTATATTTAGTGTTTTTAAAGTTGTTTTGTAATTTGTGATATATGCTATTTTAATGAATGTATATGTTTTTATGGCTGTAAACCGGGCTGAGTCCCTCAACGAGGTTGAGAAGCTCGGTATACAAAACTGTGAAATAAATAAATAAATAAATAAATTTTTCTATATGGAACACAGGAACCCTCATGTGCTCTAGCCCTTGCTTCTTATGACACTTTGACCTTACTTAAGTCACAGAGCCCCACTAGAAGTAGATCTACATCGTATGATGGGATCCAGCGGGCTCCTGAAGTCAGGTCAAACTGTTGTAAGATGGCCAATTTTGCCTGTGTGATTATAAGACTACTTTAGAACAAACCTATCTAACATGAAGACAGGCTGGCTCTGAATTACAAAGAAGAGGATGATGTCGAATACGAGATTTAAGGGGATCCTGCTGAGGCAAGGACCGGCCAGACCCACCAAAGAGGGCCCAGACACCTGGTGAGAAAAGAGCACCCAAAAAGAAAATTTCCCTATTTTTCCCAAATAAATCTCACCAAGTTGAAGAAGAAGCCACCAAGATGTTTATTTCATTCCAGCTGGAATGGATGTCAAACCGCAATCATTTGCTCAAAAGGCGACATAACTCACAAGGTAAAGCAACACAGTTTTTAAAGGAAATACAGAGCTGTTAAATTCAAATTTCCCGCTCCAGCCCCCCTTGCCGGCTCTGTGCTGATTGGATGGCCTCATCAGCTGGCTGGGAGGCGTGGCTGGCTCAGCGGCACCATGCCCAATCAGAGAGCCAGCGCCGCTTCGGCCTCTCAGCCAGTGGAAAGAGAGGAGGTGGGCCAAGCGGGAAACAATGAACTGAGAGAGAAAAATGATAGGATTAAAATGACTAATGTTTGCCCAATCGGTCTGCGATGGCTTAAGCCCTCGAGCTGGCCAGGATTATGGTTGAAGTCTTTTGAAAATAACATTTTTGCCTAGCTCAAGGGCTAGGTTCTTTGTTGTCCTTCCGTCCTGGGTATGGGATCTCAAGGAGGTGGTGGTGATTAACAAGGAGGAAAATACGAACATTAATCATAATGACATCAACATTGATGAAATGAGTTGCACCATTAAATCATCACTGACCTCGAGGTTATCTGCTTCCAAATCTCTCCAAACAATGACTTTCCCATCACCAGATAAGCTTTCATTTTTCAGAGGGAAAGTTACTTGTCCTAGGAGAATATGCTTCTTCTGTTTGTCAACATGGTAGACACAGAACTTCAGTGTCCTTTGGTGGAGTGTGTTACTGGAAATCTACATAGTGGCAAGCAGAACAGTGAAGAGAAAATTAAACAGTCTTTCTGTTTCCACTCCTCTGTTCCTAACTGTCCCTGCTCAATGTAGATTTTCATCATTTGCACCGGGACTGTGGCGCAGCTGGCTGGAAGTCAGTTGCATTAAGATCACTACTGACCAAAAGGTCATGAGTTTGAAGCCAGCCCAGGTCGGAGTGAGTGTCCGACCAAATTGTGTAGCCCAAAAGACAGTTGCATCTGTCAAGTAGGAAATTTAGGTACTGCCTATGCGGTTTAACTAATTTACGGTGTCATAAAAATCTCCAGCAAGCCTGCAAAGAATGAGGAAGTACTTCATCAGTGTCACAAATGGACGGTGAAGCAACAGCTTCCCCTGGTGGCCAGAATACCCTCATGAAAAAGCTGGAATGTTAAATTGCCTCCGTGTCTGTCTATATATGTTGTGTGTCTATGGCATTGAATGTTTGCCATGTATATGTACATTGTAATCCACCCTGAGTCCCCTGCGGGGTGAGAAGGGTGGAATATAAATACTGTAAATAAATACATAAACTAAAAAAGGGACTAGACTATTAATACAAGAATTTTGTGCATAACATGTAGTTCAGTTTTTTGTGACAGGGTCAGAGCTAGCCCAAGCCTGTTGTAAAGGACAAGATGGCACCCTAACTCTCCCTTCCCTGCAGTGATAGGGCCAAAGTACAGCATTATACCCTCATAATGTTCTCTTTGCAGAAAACCTTACCTGGAAAACAAAGTTCTCCTCAAACTGAGGGTTGAGATTTTTCCGCTTGGTCTTGGACTGCAAGTAACGCCTCTCATCAGGCAGCAGGTAGATTTTCACGAAGGGGTTGCAAGAGCTGGCAGGAGACTGCAACTTTCGAGCTTTGATCAAAGAGACAAGAAGCCTTTCTGATTCTGGCTCATATTCCACAGAGAACCAAAGTCGACCAATGTTTCCTTCAGGAAAGTCTGTCTCACTCTTGTCTTCGGGAAACTTATAGAGTTCTGGGTTAATGGCACCTACAAGGTATGCTCCTGCTGTACAGAGGAGAAGAATTCACCTTGATTCATTGTATGAAGGACATGACATTTACAATGTGTGTATCACATTTTGTTTTCAGTGCTGTTGTATCATTACACTGGCCAACGTACATTTTAGTGTTTCAAATGTTAGCCCTGTTTCTGGGTATATTTGAGCTACTGATTCAAAAAATGGCACCAATTTTTCCCTATCCGCTCTGAGAAACAGAACATATGGCTAATCATCATCATCATCATCATCATCATCATCATCATCATCATCATCATCTTTATTTATACCCCACCACCATCTCCCCCAAAGGGGACTCGGAGAGGCTTACATGAGGCCAAGCCCGACGATACATATACCAGTCTTGTCCATTGAAAATCATGGTAACTACATCTAAGACACTAGAGCTGATGTGGTCTATCCAATGCAATTTTCCAAATCTGCACCCCAAAGAACCCAAGGAACAGTCCAAAAAACCAAGATATAAAAATGTTAGTAATGTATCAATAATGTATATTTATCCTTCGATGACTGCACAACCAAGTGGGAATTTTACACCACAAAGGCAAAAACATACAATGGTATAGCTCATGAATTAAACCACCCTTAAGGAGCCTTGGCCTCCCAGATAGTTTAAACCACATCTTCCATAATTTATTTATTATTTATTTATTTACAACATTTCTACCCTGCTCTTCTCGACCCCCAAAGGAGGACTCAAAGCGGCTAACACTGGCAACAATTCAATGCTGCAATGTCACAATATAAAAACATAAATACACAATAGATTAAAAACAATAACTTTAATTATACAATCATGTAGCCGTTGCCATTATCATAACAATCATCAGGTCCTCCTATGAACCAGCTAGGATGTTAAGATCATCTGGGGAGGCCCTGCTCTCGATCACGCCTGTGTCACAAATATGTTTGGTGGGGACAAGAAACAGGGCCTTCTCAGTGGTGGCCCCTCAGCTATGGAACGCCCGTCCCAGAGATATTAGATTGGCCCCTTCTCTGTTAGCATTTCGTAGGAAGGTTAAGACCTGGTTATTCGAGCAGGCATTTGAAAAGGCAGTGTAACAAATATTGGAACATGAAACGACTGGATGACGAGATTGGATCTTGATTTTAACTAAGATACACCATGAGTTATGTAGTATTGACTTTGTAATGTTTGGGTTTTATGATGTTCAAGCATTGAATTTTGCTACTGTAAAGTGCTTTGAGTTGCCCGAGGGCTGAGAAAAGCAGTATATAAATGGAGTAAGTAAAGCGGTATATAAATGGAGTAAGTAAATAAATAAATTCAATGTCCAAAGTGGTGTTGTGCCTGCTAGCCAAAAGCCTGGTTTCAAAATCACGATTTCAGTTTTTTCCTAAAGGAAAGGAGGGAGGATGCCGATCTAATCTCACTGGAGAGAGAATTCCACAAGGGGGGATCACCACCGAGAAGGACCTTTACCTCATCTCCACCAGACGCATTTGTGAGGCCAATGGGACCGAGAGCAGGGTTTCCCCGGTGGATCTTAAACTAGGAGGCAGAACATAGAGGGAGATACGTTTGGACAAGTAAGCTGGGCTGGATCCCTACAAGACTTTATAGGCCGAGACCAGCACTTTGAATTGTGCTCGGAAATGGATCGGCAGCCATTGGAGTTGACATAACAGGGCGGTGGTGTGTTCCCTGTATGATGCTCCGGTGAGCAATCTGGCTGCCGCTGTGTTGGACTAGTTGAAGTTTCTGAACAGTCTTCAAAGGCAACCCCACGTAGAGTGTGTTGCAGTAATCTATTTGGGATTATAATCCCTTCCCATTGGTCACCTTGTCTTTGGTTGAAGTCCAAAATATTTGGATAGCCGCACATTTTTCAACCTTGAACTGAGCTGGCAAATATCAAGCCAAACACATACATGACTGAGCTTGCATCCTTGCAAACTATAAATTTACAGTGAGTTTAGAGTCCATTAACAAGGCCATACGCTTCACTTTTGCTATAGAACTTTGGATTCAAATTGCTTCCTGCTCAATTTTCAGACTAGTTGTCCATCTGGTTTAGTAGAGTCTACTTTTGACAAGCAACAGATTTTGATAAAAGGCATTCCCTATTATCCACCAGTGAATGCCGCCATGGCAGTTAAAATGGAATTACAATGTTACGGTTCTGGCCCAACTTATCTATCCGAACGTATCTCAGCCTATCAGCCCACCAGGACCCTAAGATCTTCTGGAGAGTCGCTGCTCTCTATCCCGCCGGCTTCACAAGTGCGGCTGGCGGGAACGAGAGACAGGGCCTTTTCTGTGGTGGCCCCTCGGCTTTGGAACACCCTCCCTATAGAGGTACGATCAGCCTCCTCGCTGATGGTGTTTCGGAAGAGATTGAAGACTTGGATGTTTAAACAAGCATTCGGTTAATCCGTTGCAGCGAATTTTGATGACTAAAGGACTGGTAATCATGGACGACGAATTTTGGATTGTGATTTTAGTTACGAGATGCATGGGATTATTATTGGTGGCCCAATAATTTGTATTGTATATGTGTTTTATGTTTTAAATTGAATACTGTTTTTTAATTGTTGTAAACCGCAATGAGTCGCCGACTTAGGCTGAGATATTAGCGGTATACAAGCGTATAAATAAATAAATAAATGTTACAAGTACATAGTGTGAAAAGGCCTATGACATCTTATATAAGTGCAACAGTATTGAATACACTCTTCATTATGAATAAGTAAGTTTGGACCTAACTCATTGTCAGTAAACAGAACATTTAATTCAATTTAACTCACCTGCATAACATAACCTACCTAAAGAATGGAAAGAGGATCGAGGCCCAGAATCTGGGGTAAGGTAGAGATCACTGTCTTCCTGAACATGTTCTCCATTTATCATTTCAGTCCAAGCTTGTCTATTAAATTTTGGTGGAACAATAAAAGGGACACTTTTCGTTCTGTCCAGACACGACCATCACATTGAGTTGGATTATGAAAACAAAAAGAGATCAGTCAGCCAAGACATGTGCATTTCTTACGGAAACCATCCAAAATGTGTGGATAACCTCTCTTGAAAATCAATGAAATTTAAAAGAACTTCTGGGTTCCTGTACCTATGACTTTCTAAAAAATGTTTCACTAGTGAATGTGCTAAACCCGAGTTGGGCAAATTCAAAAGGAGCAGTTGGCTATCTTCTCCTCTGTCATATCACCTACATAATTACTTCCCATGAAACCAGAAGTCAATGGTCAATGTTTGTATTTTTTAACTGTGTCTTGGCTTGTGGTGGAAAGGAGTAATAAAGTAGGGTGTCATCTGCACACTGATGGCACCCAAGCCCCCAAACTGTAGGTAGCTTTTCCCAGTAGGTTTGTGCATATGTTAAATAATATGAGGGACAGAACAAAACATTGAGAGACCACAGAAGCCAATGGGTCAAACAGGAATCTCCAAGCAGTGCTTTCTGGGTTTACCCCTCCAAAAAGGAAGAGAGCCATTGCATAACAGTGCCTCTAGGTCAGGGATTCTCAACCTGTGGGTCCCCAGATGTTTTGGCCTTCAGCTCCCAGAAATCCCAATAGGCTGGGATTTCTGGGAGTTGTAGACCAAAACACCCGGGGACCCACAGGTTGAGAACCACTGCTCTAGGTCCCATTGCAGCAAGGAAACTGAGTATCATGGTTGATTTTATTGCCAGGAGATCCAGCAGAACGAATAGAAGCACACTCCGCCATATAACTCTCAGCATAACTAAGGTGGCCAAAGCCATTTCTAACCCATAACTAGGGTCCACTGATAATGTTTGATTGGATAATATAGGAGCTTTAAGAAAGTTAATCCTGCAATGCTTGAAGGTGTCTGGAATGCTAATTTATCATTCCATGTTTTTTTCCCTAGGATTTACATGGACAGAAAGTCATCACCTTGCCTTTGGAGGATGAGGTGAAGAAGATGCTTCGGTGGCAACTGTGTCCTGCCGGACAGGGGAAGCAGATTCAACAAGTTCTTCATAAGAAGCTTTGAGGTAGACTTTCTTCCAAAAGAGGTACGCAGCTATTCCAATAAGGACCAGCAGAATAATTCCTCCTACCACACCACCTACTACAGCAGCTACCTGTTCTGATTACACAAAAAAATTCGATATATTGAAATGTTTATTTATTATTTATTTTAAACATTTATATTCCGTCCTTCTCACCCCGCAGGGGACTCAGGGTGGAGCACAACATATATACGGCAAACATTCAGTGCCGAAGCATAAAACCATAAATATATACAAACATTAAAATCACACATATTCACATTAAAAGTTGCTTTAAAACCATCTCAGGACTCCATTTTGCCTCATTCCACTGCCCCAAAGGCTTGGTCCTACAGCCAGTTCTTTGCCATCCTTCTGAAGGACAGGAGGGGAGGGGGCTCACCTAATATTGCCAGGAAGGGAGTTCCATAAGCCGGGAGGGGGGGGGGCAATCACTGAGTAGGCCCTGTCTCTCGTCCCCGCCAAACGCGCCTGTGATGGTGGTTGGACCAAGAGCAGGGCCTCCCCAGAAGATCTTAGTTTCCGCAGTGGTCCGTAAAGGGAGATGTGTTTAGACAGGTAAACAGTCAAAATGTTCAAAAACAAAACAGAGGACACCATTGGTATGATATATTCTCAATTTATCTTGATTTGTCTAGGACAGTGCTGGCTAATCTTCAGTTGTCTCATTTTCTCCCAGTTTCACTCTTTACCCTCAGCTTACATCAGTGGATGTAGTTTACAACTTCATCACATGGGTCACCAGTACAGCTGATCTACGGAGCCCCACACATCCCATCTCACAATGCACACTCTCTTGAAGTGGGGCTCCGTAGTTCAACTATGGTGCAAGCATTCTACAACCTAGAACACAGGAAGTTTCCCATGTTCCATAAGAAGAAATCGGGCCAGCGTGGAGAGAAGTTGTGTGGCAATGCTTCCCCATGTGTGATGGGGAAGCATTGTTGAGGGTGATGCTGGGTGTGGGGTAATGAGATTGCCTCACTGCCGTGTGCATTTGCCACCAAGGCTGGCAATTTCCCCCATTGCCCCTCATCAATGTGATGAGGTCCTTAGTTCATAGTCCTGAAGTAGTTTTTGTGAAGTTAATTCAGGAGGAGGGAGAAGAGAAAAGAGGGAGAAAACCTACCCTTCCCAAATCCAGTATGTACATTTCAATGTTTCTTTGCTTAAAATAATAGTTTTGTGAGTTATTTGTCATTAGTAATGTTTGCGTCTTGTTGCCTAGGCACACCTTATTGACCACGCTCTGATGTACTTCAGTCACATGTGTCCTGAAATGCATCTGTGAAATGTATTGTCGAAGGCTCTCATGGCTGGAATCACTAGGTTGTTGTAGATTTTTCGGGGTATATGGCCATGTTCTAGAAGCATTCCCTCCTGATGTTTCGCCTGCATCTATGGCAGGCATCCTCATGAGGATGCTTGCCATAGATGCAGGTGAAATGTCAGGAGAGAATGCTTCTAGAACATGGCCATATAGCCCGAAAAACCTACAACAACTCATCTGTGAAATGTTGGAATGAATGACATCAAGCCTAAATGTGTTCCCTGGTGCCAGCTCTTAAAAGAATAAAGCCTATCTGTTCTGTCGCGTGCTGGGCCTGTAAAGAATTGTCTTTAAACAGGACATGCAACCTTTGCCCAGAGGGAAACCAGGGGGCCCAAGGAGAAGTTCTCAGAGGTTTTCCACCACAAATGATCTTGAGATGGCTTGTGAAGTATAGCAAAGTTATGATTTCTTAATGAACAATCAAACAGAAACTTCTCTTGTCTTCAGTAAAGTTAAACAAATGATTCCAGGCTTTTAGGCAACTTGTGAATTCCTAATCTTGCCCATGAAGGACAGGGAACTGTCTTCAATAACTTCTTCTTTAAAGGAAAATCTCCTTTTTAACTTCTCCCAGGCTGACTGCAATCTAACCCTTACTGATGTGGGCTCTGCTACCGGGTCGAATGGCGTCTCGAAGCACCGAGTGGACCTACCAGTAAAGGCTTAGATATTCTCCAGCTGGAGTTCTTTGGTCTTTAGGGCTGTTTTCCTGGAAATCTTTGGAGACTCTTAAGACTGTTTCCCCCCGGAAAGTCCTCAAAGCTTTGGGGAGGCTTCCCTGGAGTTTTCTGGTTTGCTCTTAAGATTGTTTTCCCCCAGAAAGTCTTAAGGGTTGAAGCTTTTGTGCAGGGGAAGCTTGGACACGTCCTGTACATTAGCTTTCCTTGCTGAGACTAACTAAAAAATGGCTCCCTTCCCTTCCCAAATGCCCTGAGCAAGGGGCAGGACCAAAACTTAACGATGATGGACAGGTGACTTGCCCTATGACTGCAACCAAAAGAAGCCACCTATCTGCAGAGTCCCTGAAACCTAGGACTGCAATCAAACATTTAATACAAAGCAAATAAATGTGGAGCTCCTGGTGCAGCCGTACCAGCACACTATCCTTACCAGTCCCATTCTCAGTTCATTTCCCATGAGAAGATAGTATGCGACATAATAACACAAACTGAAACTCACATAGTAAACAGAGACCTCACAGAAATGGGAAAAGGCTTCGATCTCAAAGGAAGATACAGATACTTTGTGGATGCAAATATCATTGTCTTCTTCCCAGTCATCTCACAACTATTTTTTTAATAGAGATAATTTTCTGTCTTCATAGACCCTCTCTCCAGGCATGTAGCGCCGGGGGGGGGGCTTGGAGGGCTTCAGCCCCCCGAAATTCTCATGGTGGTTCGCGAAAAGGCCTTACTGGTGCATTATTTAAACTGTTATGTTTATTCATATCATGATCTGATCACCATACTCAATATATCCCATATGCATGGGGGTATTGGGGTAATGATACAAAAGGTTTGCTAGGGTAGACCCTCTTTCACGCAGACTCAGCCCCCCCCCGAAACTCAGCCCCCCCGAAACCCCCCCGAAAAAAATTCCCCCCCCCCCCAAATGAAATCCTGGCTACGAGCCTGCCTCTCTCTATAACATTTCAAGCAAGTGAGATGGAAACCTATGACTCAAACGTAACTTCTGTTTCTCAGCATTTTTTATACCACTTTTGTCTGATAAAGAAGCCAGTCAATTTGAAAAGGTAGCATAATAAATTTATCACCTTCGGGTTGGTTTACTAAAGGTTTCACCACAATGTGTACTTTGGATTTTTCCGATATGAGTAGACACACACTGAGAAAGCATATATGTTGTGTAAAATACAATATTCCCATGAATCTAATAAATATATTTCTCTTTTGTTTCATATAAACTCTTCACATGACTAGGAGGGTGGAAGCAATGAGTGGGTGGGTGGGGTAGAGTGGGCAAATTTGCAAGAACTTGAGATATTGGGCATCAAGCCATGCCATGAATGTTATTCATTTCCTTTTCCCCTCAACTTCAGACAAGGACTCCAACTGGGAAACATACACACACATCGCAAATCAAAGTGGAACACACTCAGAATTAAAGGATGCATATGTTTCCTGTTCTAGAAAGATACGTGGCACTGCAACAACAGTGCCCCTGCCACCATTTTTGAATCAGATTACCATCTCATTCACAGAGCACAAACTTTGGGTTGAAAATACGTAGTGCAACAAGACCTTTCTCATTCCTACACCTGATGAAATTATCCAAGGCACATAATGCTGCAAGACTAGGACATTCTACACGGAGAAAGCCAATGCCTTCATGTTTATTAGGGAAGTCACATGGAAGTTGGCAGGAGCCTAACTCAAGCTTTGCTTCCCCTCTATAATAGCAGGACAAGGGGTCCAATGACTTTTCTGTTGTTTTTGTCCTATACTAGCCATCCCCTGTCATGCGTTGCTGTGGCCCAGTCTGGTGATCTGGAAAATAAAGTAATGAGAAAGTGTTCGTTTCTAATCTATGTAATGTCTTGATGCTTGTGGGTAAACATTATTTCTTGCTGCTTGTTTTGATATGAAGATTGTCTGGTTTGTCTACTCTGGATCATGCAGCATATAATTGTCCTTCTTTAGGGGTCCCTTTCAAATCTAGGATACTATATCTGTGTGTGTGTGTGTGTGTGTGTGTGTGTGTGTGTGTGTGTGTGTGTGAATTATATCTATCTATCTATATCTGGATGGTTCTTTGTCAGAAGGGCTTTGATTACGTTTTCTTGCCCTGGTGAAGGGAGTTGGACTCGATGGCCTAAAGTATTTTCTGCTGGTCATGGGGGTTCTGTGTGGGAAATTTGCCCCAATTCTGTCATTGGTGAGGTTCAGAATGCTCTGTGATTGTAGGTGAACTATAAATCCCAGTAAGTACAACTCCAAAATGTCAAGGTCTATTTTCCCCAAACTCCATCTGTGTTCATATTTGGGCATATGGAATATTTGTGCCAAGTTTGATCCAGATCCATTATTGTTTGAGTCCACAGTGCTCTCTGGATGTAGGTGAACTACAACTCCCAAACTCAAGGTCAATGCCCATGAAATCCTTCTAGTGCAATGGTTCTCAACCTGTGGGTCCCCAGATGTTTTGGCCTTCTATTCCCAGAAACCCTAACAGCTGGTAAGCTGGCTGGGATTTCTGGGAGTTGTAGGCCAAAAACACCTGGGGACCCCAGGTTGAGAACCACTGTTCTAGTGTTTTCTGTTGGTCATGGGAGTCCTGTGTGCCAAGTTTGGTTCAATTCCATCTTTGCTGGAGTTCAGAATGCTCTTTGATTGTAGGTTAACTATAAATCTCAGCAACTACAACTTCCAAATGACAAAATTTTAAAAAACCAGTGATAGTCACTCCTTGGGTTAGTAGGTGTTGTGTGGCCAAATTTGGTGGCCATTTGTCCAGTGGTTTTTGAGTTATGTTAATGCCACAAACAAACATTACATTTTTATTTATACAGATGGTTTCTCATTCCCACCAGCAAAAACTAGATTTGCACTTCAGGGCAGTTCAGTGGCAGGATGTCAAGAACTGCAACATGAAATGGGAGGAATGCAACAGAGGGGATGAAGAAGTGGATATCCCTGTTTTGTTTTTGTTTGTTTGTTTGTTTTTGTCAATTCCACCTTGAATTCACTATTTTAGACCACAAGACGTTGCCTGAGAAAAAAAAGTAGAATGGCAGATGCACACACAGCCCCAATTCAATCATCATCATCATCATCATCATCATCATCATCATCATCATCATTATTATTGTCGTGTCAGGAGTGACTTGAGAAACTGCAAGTCGCTTCTGGTGTGAGAGAATTGGTCGTCTGCAAGGACATTGCCCAGGGGATGCCCGGATGTTTTGATGTTTTATCATCCTTGTGGGAGGCTTCTCTTATGTCCCTGCATGAGGAGCTGGAGCTGATAGAGGGGGCTCATCCGCACTCTCTCCCTGTGCCCTGCCGGTCTTCAGTCCTGCTGGCACAAGGGTTTAACCCACTGTGCCACCAGAGAAGAGCAAACTACAGACCACCTACTGCAATGCAACCTAAGGCCTGCTACATGCACAATGGAGGACCTTCTTATAGTAACACCAGAGGCACCCCAAGTGGCCAGCTACTGGTCAAAGGACAAATCAACTACCAAGCTTGCAGACTTTGTGTTTTGGTTTGTTTGTTTGTTTGTTTGTTAAAAAGTGCAATACAACTGTCTGGTTTGCTCCTGACACGATAAATAAATAAATTCCAGGGGCTCCTAATTCAATGATGATATTGGGAGATGACCCTTGTGCAACGCTATAAAACAGACAACATTGTCTTCATACAAAGCAGTGGTTCTCAACCAGTGAGTCCCGGGGTGTTTTGGCCTACAACCAGAAATCCCAGCCAGTTTACCAGCTGTTAGGATTTCTGGGTTGAAGGCCAAAACATCTGGGGACCCACAGGTTGAGAACTACTGATATAAAGGCTGTTTCCTACACTGACAGCACGGACTGGTTTTGAAAGGGTCTTTTGAGTGAAATTTGCAAATGCTAAGCAAGGGGCTTTGAATGAAATTAACAGCAAAAGAGAAACATACCCTTTCTCTGTAGAAAAGGAGCAACAGGGAAGAAAATGTTTTTAAGAAACAAGAT